TTTTTTCAACAAATGGAAGGGCCTACAGTTTACAATATAACGGCTGAAGGTTTTTTTATGATTTCCTTTATTTCATGCCCGAAATACACTCGAAGGTGTTGACATTCCCTGCCTGGGGTGAGTGCAATTAGAAAATTCCACTTAATTTTTTATTTTCTTTTGGATGTTAGAATCGAAAGCTGGTCTTTCAAATGGCGTTGCATAATGCTAACCGCTGGGCTACCGCGGCCGCCAGAACTATGACTTTTACACTCCTATATAACTGGGCAATGCCACGCCCACTAAAAAACTCGATTCAATTTGGTTAGCATTTACATCCGACCGACAGCTCGTGGCTCACCAAGAGTTTACATGGCAATTTCGCTAATTTAGTTCGAACAGAGTGATTTGTCATTGCAGCCCGAACACGTGAAGAGTGAATAGAATGGAAAACAGTTAATTATATTGTGCATAAATGGAAAGAGTGTTGGAAAATGCTGAGTATCTTTCCGCCTATTTTGTATCTTTTAAAGTAATTCCGAAGAATAATTAATATGAATTATAACAAATCATTAAACATACGCATAGGTTTACGTAAATACACACATACGATGTATGAATATGTATGTATGTATGTGACGGCTGCTGCCTAGATGTTCGGCTTGTCCGATTCCAATTGTCTAAGTCATCAGCAGCTGCGCCGATTGTCGAAATGCCTTGTCATTTCGTCATATTCGAACACATAACATATGCATGTGTATTGTATGTATGTATGTATGTATGTATGTATGTATGTATGTATGTATATGAATACATCCAATGTTGGCACATTTGATCGTTACTCAAATTTCCAAAACGTATTCATAATTTTTGTAAATAAAAAACGATTTTCCTCTTTTTTATTCTCATTTTTTTTTTTTTTTTAATTTCATAAATTCTTAAACGTAGTTAAATGGTTTTGTTTATGTCATGTCGGTGGAAGGAAGGCAGGACTTTATATAAAAAATCATGACGAGCATTTATTTGTGTATGTATGTTGTTTGTATGTATGTATGCACTTTTTATTTAGAAAAAATCTCTTTGACTTCCGGTGTGATTGATTAAATGCGCGAATAATTGATTTGTATGCATTGTGAGCTGTTAAATGTATGTGCTTGTATATATGGCTGTGTATGTATGTATGTATGTGTATACGTGTTATAAGAATACTATAACGTATGAGCATAGTCGTTTTTTTATTTCTAGGTAGATGTTTTAATGATTTTCGTTGTATTATTTTGAACTGACTTAAAGCATCGTGGTCCACGACATTCGCGTGCCGACTTATTTCAGGAATTATTAAACGCTAAACAAGGGTTAATGTCAACTGTCCATAGTTAACGAGGTATGATTGATATCCGTTATGCGCCAGCACACTATTCGATTTTTTTTTTAATTTTTTGCTAATGTCGGCAATCGATTTAATTAACAGATACTTTTAATCCTTTTGAAGAGAAGGACGAAGTGCAGCCTACTTTTTCTTGCTACTAGAAGCCGAGCTCGATACAAAAATGGCTTACCATTTTGAAACGTTTTACGTGTACGAGTATGTTAGTATTGCAAAAGTCACATAATACAACCCTGCGTTTATTAAACGCTTTTTATGTGTATTTATGTATGTGCATGACACACCGTTAAACAATACTTCAGAAATTAGCAGCTCGATTTTTGTTAGAGTTTAAATTTATAGCCGATTACCGAGGACCAAATCGTATTCATACATATATACATACATACATGTACATACATATCAGTAAGCACATTTGTACCTACGCATTTCTAAATCGCAAGATTTTGCTTTGCGGTCAATTATTATCTCCGTAAATTCATCTCTTGAGCGCAGTTATCTTTATAGCGTTAGATATAGATGTCAATTTCATAGTTTTAAATTTTTTTAGTCAAGTTTGCATATTCTCAACAACCACCCTTAACCCACCGCAAGCGAATACGTCGTACATATGTATATGTGTGTATGTATGTATGTAAAATTTAATACTGATTCGGACTGACATATTTACTGGTTTTGAAATTTAAAATGAAGGGTATTCATTTGATTGGTCCCGTAATCAAGCACAACAAATTATCCACCCTGCGCACTCATCACAACAACAGCAAAAAAAGAACGGGGCTCACAGGGCGACATACGAGTAAATTCAAATGTAGTCACATACATACATACATACGTGTATATGTATGTGCATAAATAGCGAGCTTCCCGTTTTACTTTAAATTGGCACATATTTCATTTGAAATTTCTTTGTTGTTTTACTTTTCGCATTTCGTGTTTTTCCTCGGCCAACGATGAGTTCGAAATGTCCTCGGGGGGTTTCAATTGCATTCACTTATATATTTTGGTTGCATTATGTCAGTTGAATCACTTTCTATGCACATAATCATGCGTACATGCTTGCATACATACATATGAGCCTAGTTGAACGCATCTGCAGTCGCTAAGGGGTGAAAAGCCGCACTCCGGGTATCGGAAAGGGGTGTACATGGCGTTTGAGATTTCAAGTTCAGGACTTTCCTTTCGACAAAAATCACAAAATGAAAGTTGCATAGCAGAGAAATCTTTGTTTAGCTTTTGTTTTATTTAATTTTCATTTCGTTTCGCATAGGAAAATATGTATATACATAGATGCAGCGCTCCACAAACGTAGGCCAGTTACTTTGAATTCTTCTCAATCTCAGTCTTGGTTCCCAACACCTCACGCGGTGCTGACTTTGCACCAACTTTTCCATTTATGATTCCAAAGACAACAAATGAATGAATGAAGCCAAAGATTCAAGGACTCAATGTAAACAGTGAAATTTGATGTTGGAAATGAAATCGTTGTTATTATTGCCATTCAATTCTTCGCAATGTGCATTAATAATCGTCGCATGGTGCACTCGGAAGGTGCTCTTAACCCAACACTCTCTCACCAGGTGTCAATTTTGCTACCTCACGAGCAGTGACGAGTACATATTTGTATGTACGAGTGTGTATACTAGACCTAAAGTTTGTACTAAGCAGCCTCCAAGCGGCTGATGCTTTTTTATTATTACCTTTATTTCATGCCCGAAATACACTCGGAGGTCCTGCCGAGGGGCGAGAGCAAAAGGAGTTCTAACTAAATTTTTAAATTCGTTTTTTATGTTGGTCGTACCAGGACTTGAAACCGAGATTACAGCAGGGCCAAAAGCTCCTCATAAAAATCCATGGGCCTTTCGGAGGTAGCATAGAAAAAACTGTAGGCTCCTACATTTAAAAAAAAGCATCACGACCGGCACAAAATAGAAGAGGAGCTTAACCTAAAATCGCTTCCTCGACTTCAAAGCCCCAATTATGCAATATATGTGTAGGACTGGTAAGTAATACTGGACACTCACACATTATTTGCTGCACTGTCTGCAACTGTCTGCAGTTGTCCTCATTCCGTCCCATTAAATGACCTACCGCCAGCCTAGAATCTAACCTCTTTACCAATTATTGTGTTCATCAAGCAAGGACCTCCTCCTTAGACAGTTCGTCACCTAACTCATTTGCTTCGACGCCCATATGACCGGCCAGTTTTAGCCTATACTTTACTGTGGACGAAGGTACACCTGCATCGAGTGATTGTGGATAGAGGTTCAATTGCTTGGGATGCCCCTGTGTCGGTCACAATCCATCATAGTACTAGTAATCTGTTCAAGCTGGTATTTGATTGATTAAGCTTCGTGTTTAATGCTGAGAGCTGCCAACAAAGTGTTTTGGCTTTGTATGCGAAGACTTAATTGAATTTTACACGATTGATGAACGAGTCTCGGCATAAAAGATCATTTTCGTGGCTTTAAACTCAATCGCAATTAATTTAAGAATTTCTTATTTTTCATATTTTTAATGTTTAATGGTTCGTGACATACATATGTATATTTCTTCCTCTCTCTATTAAGCAGAAATTATTGTTTCGAAGTTAATTGATAATGGACTTCAAATTGCTTCAATAGTCTAAATTGTCAATTAGGTGGCTGTGTGAACTACGCCTGAAAGAAATTCATTTTTTTAATCCCACTATTTTCTGTTCTGTAAACTCTTTTCTTGGAGAGCAACTATGTCTTTAATCGCATAATGAAAATGCCTCCATTGCCAACAGATAAGTGGTGGTAGCTACATACATATGTACATATGTATGTTTAAAAAAATTTGAAATGATTCCTCTACCACCCTCTATCCCATACCCCACACGTGAATGCCTGAACACACGGAACACCATCATCATTTCGTTAAAGTTAAATCGAATTTGTTGAAAGCGAAATAGAAAAGCTCCAGCTGACAGCTCAGCCTGCACAGCCACAAATACCGATAGCGAAGGTCCAACAGCATACTAAATTGCCAATTATTATACATGAGCGAATTTTCTAAATGCCTTAAAATTAGCCAACATAAGTCAACCCACACAAGGAATATATTATTATTTTCCATTCTCCTTTCTTGGGTGACGCTGCCTGGCAAAAAAACATAACCTCAAAAGCCATCCGCAGTTATCAAAAGCCCAAGCCCAATGCAGACCATTTCTTGTGTGCAGGACACGAGCTCCGCACAAGCCATTCAATATCTATTATGCACTCATTCGGAAGTTTGAATAAAATTTGCCTCTTCGGATGAAGAATATTGAGAATTGATGAAAGAGCCTTTACCATCGCACCACCGTTAGAGTTGGTCCATTGCTGGCAGCAGTGTTAAACTTCTATGGAATATTCAATTTGTACGTTGGTCAAATCGAATTATGTTTCACTTCAAATTCATTGTGTGTATGTGTATGTGTGGGTAGCTAAGGTCACTTAGCTTGTGGTTTGTGCCCCTCGAAGGGGTTGAGCTTGGCAAAGCATTTTTGTTGAAAAATGAAATGAGTAACAGAAGCTTCATTCAGTTGGAAAATTGAAAAGCAAAATATTTATTTCTACACATAAATGACTCTTCATAACCGTTATCTTCTTCGTTTTTTCTTTTTTTGCAGACCACACCGACAGCCGTGAAGATAGCACTGAGTGCGGTGGGCTGCAACAGGGATGCGCTACTATCTCACCGGCGAAGAACTTGAGTAAGAAGCGGCGTTATGAGGCGGACACAGAGCTGGACGAAGTGGTCAACTTGGCGCCGCAATCACCGAAGAAGATGGCGCATTCGCCATGCCGGTCCACAGCGCCTGATATATCAAATGCTCTACGTCCGGACGAGTATGTTTCGCAGCTGCCCGATAACGCCTCGAATCTTTTCGCAGCACTCCAGAGCCCGCTGGCTCCACTGCTGTTGCAAAATCATCTCGGTATGGGGGCACCCAATTTCGCCGCCAGCGAAATGCAGCAAGCTTTCCAAATTCAGCTACAGAGTTACGTGGATATGATGCGTCAGGTAGCGCCGGAGAGCTTTCAAAACCCAACCGCCACACATTTTCTACTTCAAAACTCACTCCAGGCGATGGCGCAATTTCAGGCCTTGCAGCAAATCAAACAGCAACAACAGCTACAACAAGAGCTGCAGCAGCGCTTCAGCGAAAGTGAGGAGCGTCAACCGTTAGCCAGGCACAAGGCGCACGGAACACCAGCGAAAGCCACGAAGCATTTTTCAACGCCGCTGGGCTCATCGCCGCTGCGTAGCCCGTCGCTTAGTCCAGTCAGTCGCCATCACTCGAAATCCTACCGCCCTGCACATGACGATGAGGAGGAAGAAAGAGGAGAGGAAAATTCTTCTAAGCAAACGACACCACCCAACTCAGCTATGGGTCTGCAAATGGGCAGCGCCATCCTAACGCCAAATACGCCTGGCATGAATTCCATTTTCCCCGGCTCGCTGCCCGGCCCTGCGATAAGCTTTACTAGCACGCCACAAAACAACAAAACGATGGGCGCGAATGTATTGTCAGCGGCAGCACGCAGTCTTGACCAATCACCGGAGGAGACCACGGATCTTGAAGAACTCGAACAGTTTGCCAAAACTTTCAAGCAACGTCGCATTAAGCTCGGCTTTACGCAGGGCGATGTCGGTTTGGCAATGGGCAAACTGTACGGCAATGATTTCTCACAAACGACCATCTCACGATTTGAAGCGCTCAATTTGAGCTTTAAAAATATGTGCAAACTAAAGCCACTGTTGCAAAAATGGCTGGCCGATGCAGACAATACTATCTCAAAGACGGGCGGCGTATTCTCTCTCAGCTCAATGACGACGTCAATCAGCACACCAGAGAACATCATCGGCCGTCGACGCAAAAAGCGCACCTCAATTGAGACCAATGTGCGCAGCACCCTCGAGAAAGCATTCATGATGAATTGCAAGCCCACCTCAGAGGATATCAACAATTTGGCTGAACAACTGAACATGGATAAGGAGGTGGTGCGAGTGTGGTTCTGCAACCGACGTCAAAAGGAGAAACGTATCAATCCCGCCTTGGACATGGACAGCCCCACCGGCACACCACTCAGCAGTCACATTTTCGGTTTCCCCGCACAAGCGCTCAGCATGTCGAACAGCCATGAGGCATCCTCCATGTGCGGCAGCTCGATCAGTTCGCTATCGCCGCATTGTGTCGGCAAGCAAGAATGATCCTGTGGCTATCGGAATGTGGCACGCAAAAAGAAGTCGTCATATCGGGTGGAAATGCTTAAACCAAGTCTAACATATCTGCGAAGTCATAACGCGCCACTGGAATATATCGGTCGTGTTGGTGATCAGTTGCCGTACCTCGAAAGGCGTCAGGAGCTGGAGAGGATTTGGCGCTTTTGCGAGAAGTCGAGTTGTAAAATGTCCACGTTTGAAACGTATTCGCATTACACCGAGCTAATCTAAAGATCAGACATATTCACACTCACACACACAGAAATACTATTGCAGTATGTACAGTACATATGTATAGCTATTGTACATAGCTACACATTATATTGATATTGAAGTAAATATCAAATGCAGTTAGAATGTTTAAATAGTTTTACGAAATTCTATCTCTTGACCATATCAACAACAACAGCAACAACAACTCAAAACAGCAACACGCAGCTCCATAGAAAGAGCCATAATTTAATTATAATTATTTAAACAATTAACCAAAAATGTGTAATTTGAAATGTTTATACAAACTAACATCCACATACACACATACATATATGTATGTGTAACGATATATGTATAGGAATAATATATTATATTGTAAGGCAGTTCATGTGTATGCGTGTGTTTGTCGTAATTTAAGGCGAGTGTGAGTATTCCCAGACATACACGTACAAACAAAGACATTACATATTGTTGTTTGTATTTATGTTTTTTTTAGTTAAATATGCACACATACATACATACTTGTGTGAACATATGTATATACGCATATACTTGTAAGTATATACATACACGTACGTATATATGAATTGCAAATGTGTTTTTAAATCGCATTTAATGAAATTCCTCAGCCAAGGTTCCTATATTTATACACACTCGTACATACATATTCGCCAATGCAATTTATATGCATTTAATCAAGGCAAATTTATTTGATTATACCACATTCGAGTTGTTTTATTTCAATTATGCAAAGAATTTGATAATTTTTTTGATTGAAAAAGTTCAAGGTAACGGAAATGTGCCCCAAAGGACTAATATATTCCATTAGTCTTTTGGCGGAAATCAATAATAATAAATATTTTTAATTTCGAATTTCTGGAAATAAATTAATATTAGAGCATTTTGTTGATGAATTGCAGAAACGCACTAACTAAGAATTTTCCAAATTTTTGTTTGCTTTTTTTTGGCTTTTAAATTTTCAATTTTTGACAGCCTATTTCAGAGATCTCCAAAGTGCTAAAGCCAACACCTTACATCGCTTATAACTAAAACAAAATATTGGGTGAACAAATAAATTCAGTCCGTCACAAATAAGTTGCAAAATCATTTCGATCGTTTCTGGCAGTTTTCGGCCATTTTTCATGCAATGGACGGCTCAAACGTTTCGGCTGGTTTTAGCAGCTCATAATACACCACACCCGTCTGGTCCCAGCAGACGATAATGGAATTAAATATTTTTTTTTTACTTGGGGGTTATCATAATATTAGTAAGATTAAATTAAATATTGTAATTGCGGTCGCCCCTCAGCAGGGTGTGTCCACCCCTCCGAGTATATTTCGGACTTGAAATAAATCTAAACATAAAAAACCATCAGCCGTCCGGAAGCGGCTTAGTTTAAACTGCAGGGTTCTGGGTTTGTTAGAAAAACATCAAGGCGCAAAGACCACAAATTGGAGGAGGAGCTCCGCCGAAAAAATCGCTTCAGCGGTTACAAAGCGCCAATTATATATATCATAGTATTTCCACTTTTCTTTTCCAGTCACGATCCGGTGCAAAAAATCTTTCTTTGGTGTATTTGAAGAAACGGTTCTGAGGTAAAAAACGAAAAATTGCCTTTCGGCATCTCTCGGCTTTAACTCGTACGGCCTTTGCTTTTAAATATTTAGTCATTTGATATTGTTCCAATATAGTCCCCAATTCCTCATCTCCAAGCTCTTTATGTTTGCTTCTTTGGACCCTACAAGCACTCGATGAGATTCAGCTGCAATTTTCTTCCAAAGAGGCAAACAATGCTGTTAGCAGAAACAGACAGACAGATGAGAAACCTTTCCAATGAAAGATGATCGCTTCGAAGGCTGGCAGGTGGAGCCATCTTTTGAGCACAAATCTAATTGAACTGCATCCCCGACATATCTGAATTCCCAAAATGTTTGAACATTTCATTGTCTTGTCTTGTTAAACTCAAACTTTTTACTTAGGCGTTTCTAAATTTCATTAACGCAATGGTGAACAATTGGGTACTGATTTTCGAAAATTTTCGAAAATTCATTTTTTGAAAATCAACATTCAATTGGTTTTTCTTTGTTAGCAATTTGATTAATTTATACTTTTCGTTTATATTAAAAACAGACATTTTTGTAAATAATAAATTTAGTTTTCTAACGATTTTCTATTATTTTATTTTTCCCCCTACATACATACACACATGCATATAATATATTATATAAATCAAATTCAGGTTAATAAGTGTAAGTAAATTTATTGTATAGATAATTAGCAACTTTTAGAAAGTAGACTTTTATTGGCATGTGAATACATATATACATACATACATATGTACTTAGAGTATACTGAATTATACGATAGTAAAAGTAATTGTAGAATTACAGTTAAGTACCAGAGCGTGGTAGGAACGCTGAAATGTCTAAAACACCTTGAAAGAAATAAAAAATCTCAAACGTATTTAATAAACCAATAAAAAAGTTTCATTGTCGTTTGGTAAATGATTTACCGGATTTACCGGAATGTGAATTTAGCGAAAAGTGTTCTGATAAAAAAACATACGAAGCACGTCTAGCAAGGATGTGTGCTGAATTTTTGTAGAGTTTCAAAAATTTATCTAAACAAAAACTGCCGGACACTTTAGTACATATTGCATGCTGTTTTTCACACAGTTCTTTCTATTTGGGTGGGGAAGCGGGGTATCAGTTCTTTGATGCTTTCCTCGAAGTAGTTTCCCGACAACTGTTTCGTCTACTTTTTTACATCCTCCTTTACCTCCTCGTCTATTGAAACCAATTTTCCGCCCACATGCGGCTTCAAAGAGGTGAAAAGATAGTCCTAGAACAGGCGAGCAACTCCTTCGTAGTTTCTTCTTGTCCGCATGCTTCACCTCTTGTTCTGAATCCCACTCCGCAAAATCTCAAATGCCATCGTTAAGATAAAGGATAACGTCGCGTATTCTCACTTTACGAGAACTGGATTGACATTGTTCACGAAACGTTGTCGCGTCGATAGTACTCAACACCATGACTTCGGTCCCTTTGCAAAGGGGGGAAATCTACTTTGTTACCAACATGGCGACAAAAAATCCCTCCATCGGTGAGAGCCTCAGTCCACTTACTTTCTGGCTATGACTCGTACATAGAAAATTTTTACTTGATTTCATTTCTTTTTAAATTAACTCAGCCGCTTGCTTTTACATTATTTTTTACTTTGGTATCTGCAAATAAACCTGGAAATTGCTGAGACGAAATTAAAACTCGTGTATGGAACCAACCAACAAAAAATGTTCTTTTTCTGGTCATTTAAAATCGTCTATAATTGAGTCAACGTTAGCTCGCCAGTCACTTCTTTCCTTTCGCCATTCCATGACAATTGGGGATCCAAATGAGCCATCCAACAGAATGGAGATCATCCTCTTCCTCTTCGCATCGAAAAGTTTCAAAGTTGGAGTGTTATCATCCATCTCGCCTAGCTTTTCTAATCTAATTCTCTTAACTATGTAAATGTCGTCGTAATTCCATAAATCACGTCATTCCATCAACTGCAGTATTCGCCGCTTAAACAAAGCCATGACTGTCAAAGGTGAAGTGGAAGACAAGACACGAGTGACGGGAACATGCATCAGCTTGATTGCAAAATATGGTCCGTTGAAAGCACGATCAACGATGGAAACCTAAGTGTCTCTGCCCAATCCACAAAAAGAGCAATGCCACAGTCTGCGCCAACTGCCGTGGGGTAAGCCTCCTTAACATCGCATATAAGGTCCCTGCGAGCGTTTTGTGTGAAAGACTAAAGCCCACCGTCAACAAACTGATTGGACCTTATCAGTGTGGTCTTAGATCTGGTAAGTCAACCATTGACCATATATTCACCATACGAAGACCCGTGAAAAGAGGATCGACACACACCACCTCTGCGTCGATTTTAAAGCAGCATTCGACAGCACGAAAAGGAGCTGCCTTTGCGCCGCTATGTCTGAATTTGGTATTTCCGCAAAACTTGTACGTCTGTTTAAACAGACGCTAGAAAAGACCCGAAGCACAGTCAGAATTGGGAAGGATCTCTCCGAGCCGTTCGGTACAATTTCTTCAATTTGATGCTGAAGAAAATAAATAAGAGATGGCGGCTAGGTTATGTAGTCCTAATGGATGAAAGCACACCTGCTTTTTGATATTCGATGCAGTACCCGCTGGTGGAACCAGAGGAAGAGGAAGACCTCCACTCCTTTGGAAAGATCAGATGGAGAGTATTTCTGAAATGAGTATCCCATACAACAATTTTAAAAATCACTACGCAGTTAGAGAAAGGTGTGCTGCCTTTGAACGCGTCGCGTCGTGTGGGCTTTGATATTTGGAACCATCTGCCTTTCAGCTCGGACCTGAGCCCGAGTGATTACTACCTACTTCCAAGGAAAAAAATACGGGTAAAAAATTCATCACCGATGATGAGGCCAAGGCTGCATGGGACCTATAGGAGTCAAATAAAAGTTAAATATTACTACACTCTTATGTACATATATGAGCCCACATATATGTACTTATGCATACACATTTATTTACGTATAAAATCCATTTTATATTTTCGTACAATAAAACAACAATGCAAATATATATGTATATATGTAAGCGGGTATGGGAAACATATGTAGCCAAGCTATTTACCATGATAAATGAGTTTGGCAAATGCAATCTACTTCTTGCTGCTTCTTCTTGCTCTGTCTGTATATTATGTATTAAATGCCAAATTTCATTATAATAAATGGTATTATTGTCCAATATGCGAAATTCATTTTTCAACTTGCAAAATAAGCAACGGTTTAAATAAATAGTTAAAGAGAAGAAGAAGAAGAAGAAAGCTTCTTTGAAATGGAAATATTTATATTAAAATGTATGTGTAATGTGCATGTGGATATGTATTTATTGTATGGCAGACACACAAGCGAGTGCATGAATTTTGAGTCAATAATGTTGTAAGAATTAACCGTAATACGCTTTCAGAGTGTCGTAATATACGTAATACATGGAAGGAATTAGACATAGAAGAAGCCAATGCATACTATATACATGCATAGATACATGCATATGTATGTACGACTGTGTGTCGGGAATTTACGAACAGAATAGATCTTAAAAGTTCAGTTTTTTATAACTTGCCAAGTAGAATTAATGGCTTTATGTATCTGTGTACTTATGTACTCATATACACATACATGAGGGTACTACATGTCGACATGTCGAGCAAAAAATTGGTCCTTTCGG